TTTGATGTAATAATGCAAAAATGTGACTCTTTGACCTTGCCTGTTTTGTTTTGTTTTGTTTTTTAGCATGCATTCCTGTACTGTTTTTGTCTCTCATGCGTAAGTCTGTGCTTTTTTTTCCTTCTTTTTTTGTGCTGTATAACACGTAAAAATTAAATAAAACTGAGTTAAAAAAAAAAAAAAAAAAGATACATTTTTACACTACAGCATAGGCAAAAAGGCCACAGACATAAAGATGATTATGTTGCTCTTCATCAGCAGAAATCAGTTAGAGAAGACAGACTTTTCCACTCCATGAAACACTGATGACAAACAGATGCACTTGGGACAAATCAAATCCCTTCCTTCTCAGAGGTTTCAGTGCAGACAAACTGCCCAAAATGCAGAAAGTCATTTAGGTGTTTGTTTTTTTAATTATTATTATCTTGCCTCAGTCCTCATTAGAGATGCACCAATAAAGTGTGGTGTCTCAGTAACCAACGGGTGACCAGCAACAGCTGCCATGGAAGCAAGCCGAGAGCGCAAGAGAGAGAGCGAGAGAGAGATATGAGGAAGGGGAGGAGAATGAGGTGTGGTTTATGTATCTCCTCAATCAGAAAATGTTGTGCCAGCGAGTCGGTTACAAGAAAGGTTATTTATAGATTGAATTGCATTGTGGCGAAGGTAGGACGCTGCCCGCTACATTTAACAGAAGAGGGCGGAGGAGGACACACACTTGGTCTTGATAAATGCTCTGTTTCTCCTCTCACTCGTTTCGCCGCCTGCTTTAACCGTTTACCTGATGTAGGTAAACACCTTCTCTTTTACTCGGCTCATGCTGTTTTTAGTTTTCCTCTCCATCTGCCTTTCTATCTCAGGATTTTGCTCGGCTCATTAACCTTCCACATCTGTGTCACAAAACACAGAGTTGCTTTTTCTTTGAATCAAAGGCTCCACACAGTTAACTGACTCCCTCAATAAAGCAGAAACAAACACAATATACATATGAATCCATTCGTCTCTCTCTAATGCACACCACTTGCTGGCTACAAGCAGCTTTCAAGCTTTGGATGAAATGAAAAAGTGTTCTTCCCCACAGCTTTCTTAGACCGAGCTCTGAATAAGTAACCTTGTGAAACAAATGCTATTCATTAAAAGCTGCTGGAGAGAAATACACGGCTGTCACTCCTACTCCTGAGCCAATTTAATCCAAAATCTCCCCTCCTCATATAACAAGTGGAGTGAACTTCACACTCAGAATGTGACACATCGTCTTTTGGCGACAACCACACTCAGAGATGAGTCACTCCGGACAGTAGAGAGCTGCCCAATCTTCATTAGTGGCTCTTTCAACAAGGTCAGGTGAGCTGATGAAATGGAGAGGAGGGGAATAGGAGAAGAAGGAGAAATTAGACAAGAAAAGCAGAAAAAAAGAGTTATATATATGGAGAAGGGTTAAGGAGAGAAAAAAGGTCAACGGCTCTCTTCTCTGTCCTTCTCGTCCCTCACTGACAACCCTCCAGCAGAATGATGGTGCACAGGCAATCAGCTAATGGGATGGGGAGGACGAGGTAAGGGAGGGAGAAGATGTGATAGGAAGGGAGTAATAAAGGAGGGGCGGGGAGATAGAGAAAAGATCGAACAAAATGACTCAAAGGAAGAGGTGTCATTGGATATGTGCCAGGGTAGTTTCCATTAATCAGATCAAACTGAGTGGCTCCAATCTGCGTCATGTTTGATTTTTTCATCCATTTGTTCATTGCTGTTATTTCAGGACAACAACTGTTTTAATTGGAATGCCTATCCAAATAAAGCTTCAAGTTTTAAAGGTCAAATATAATACAAAATACAATTGACCATGTTTTCTAACACTAATTTGTGTCCCTAGTCTGTCTACAACCCCCCCCAGCTATGAGAATAGTCCATCCTCTCTGTATTTTGCCTGCTCCACAAGGACATTTTCCCTTTGTGACATCACAAAGGGCAGCAACCCCCCTGGGTGACACTCCCACAGCTAGGTGTTTGTTCTGCCCTCTGAGTCTGCCTTCTTACTGTAAACAACAGGACATGGTGCAAGAAAGCCTGAGCCACCCAAGCCCTTCCAGAGAGGGGCGTGGTCAGACACAGCTCATTTGCTTTAAGAGCTATTGACACAGAAGCAGCAATGTCACATTTATCACAGTTTTTGTCTAGAGGAAGTGAGAGGTTTTATTTTGCGTTTCAATGGAATAACAATGTTGGAATTGAGCATCATGGACTGAAGTCAAACTTTTGTTTTGATGAAGAGATTAAAGTGCCAAAAAAATCAAGTGCTAACTTCCAGGAATCAGTAGCAGTACCAGAACCACGATGACTCAATTTGAACAGTACAATGTACAGTATTGTACAGCGTGAAGAGGGAACCTCTGTACTCCTCTGTGCCATATTTCCACAGAGAAAACTCTCCTCAGAGCAGAAAGAAAACCCTTGAAACTCACTCTGACACATTCACACACTATACATAAACACACACACATCCATTGACAGGGTACCAACACAAGTCTTCCTCTCTGCTCCCCTATTGAGACCCTGCCTAAGTTTGAGTGGCATCTTTGCTCTGCCTGGCTGCTCCTGTCTCTCCATCGGACCGACAGGCTCTCCCTCCAGCATAACACACACACCCAGACACACACACCCTGACACACAAACACACCAATACACAGACACACATTCACAAAAAAAGCGATGTGCAAGGAGGAGTGAACGGCTGAATCAGATAACAAAAAACGGGGATGAAAGCGTCTTGGTTTTGTGCAATACGTCGGCGTATGTGAGTGTGTGCACACATGCACTGCATTGTGTGTGTGTGCGTGTGTGTAAATGTCATTGCTGAAAAAGAATAATGTAATTATACTGAAGGCTAGTGTGGCATTTATGCCTCGCCTCGTGGGTAATGGGCTAGAATAATTGGAGAATGTGAGTAAGTGGTTCCAGGTAAAACATCACGCTGGCTTAGCTAAATGTGCTCATTTATTTCCAGCTTTAACTGCAAAATGATACACTGTACCTTTAAGACTTTTACTAAGTAGATTATTTTAAGATCAGATTTCAAATGATGATTAGAACTTAACTGTAATACAAAGACTTTAAACTTGAGAAATGTGTGTCTGCTCTGCTGCTGCAGTTTATTGTAAAGGTTTAAAATGTAATAACTTTCATAGAATTTATTGGCGCTCAAAGAAATTATACAGAAATATTGTAGAATCTACTCAGATTACAAACTGGACTGTTGTAAAAAGTGGTTATGTGCTCATAATTTGCATAAATTATGAAGTCAGTCTTAATTTACTGATGAGAGGAATAAGAGCAAGCGTGACATTTTCTTTAACAAGCTGTGTGGTTATTACATTTAATTATAATATACAATCTGACAAGTTGGAATTCCATCAGACTCTAAATACATTTGATTTTCTATCTTGAAAAAGTAAAAAATGTGATGTAAAAGATACTATTTGTACTTGAGTAAATATGTTGTGCTTATTAGTCTTTTTAAACTATTTAGCATTGTTCATTATTTAACTTACCTGACCGCAGATTTAGGTATTGATCCATACAGCAGAGAGCTGAGTCCTCGGTACAGTCCTTTGACCCCATGACCCTGTACCGTCTGTTTCACACAGTCAGCTGCAGGAAGACACACACATGTTATTTTTTTGTTTATACAAGTTAGTATTTGATAGTTTGATTACAAGATGTTTTTTCTGTGTCTGGTGATCTGAGTTCTGTCTGTTTTCTGTGAAGTATGGTCCACCAGCATTTTAGGGAGCTTTTTCTGTAAACGGGGAAAAAAAAAGGGCCATGGAAATGGCAAAATGTATAGGCAGGGGGCGCTGGGTGCCTAGAGGTATGTTCGGACCCCCAATGTACAGAGGCTACAGTCCTCCAAGCGGGCAGCCTGGGTTTGAATCTGACCTGTGGCTCCTTTGCCCCACTCTCTCTCCTTGATTTCCGCCTATATCCACTGTCCTATCTTTGTAATAAAGGCACAAAAAGCCCAAAAATAAATAATAAAATAAAACTAATCAAAATGTATAGGCAGTAATCTGCTAAATCACAATTTAGCTAGAATTTACATTTGCACACAAGTGCTCCATACATTACCCTCTTTGCTGTGGTATCCCATATTTGCTTCTTTGGTTTCTAGTTGACTCGGAAAAAAAATAGGCAACACAGAAAAGGAATTCTTAACCAGAAGTTTGTTACTACGCAGACTTAAAATAGGTAGGTATACTCCATATACTTGTGTATACCCTGCACTACACTCACTACACCCTGCGTACCATTGTGGCTCATTGCCACAATGGCTGATAGGTCATAAGATTGCACTCTTTGATTTTTCTTTGCCACTTATCCCTCTGGATATCTCACCCAGAGGTGTAACATGTGTTCTTTTTTCAGTAATAAAATACCAGAAATACCTGTCCATCACTTCTGATTCATAAACATCACAAAAAGTGAAAAGTGGCAGATTGAACCAGATGCCGCTTTTCTTAAAATTGGTTGTTTTTCTGTTCTGTAAACTTGCATGTTAAAGAAAGAGCAACAGCTGTCTGCAGTCCTCATTAGCATGGTTTCCTATCCTCAGAGCTCCAGTAAGTGTGTGTGCGTGTGTGTGTGTGTGTGTGTGTGTGTGTGTGTGTTTGTGTGTGTGTGTGTGTGTGTGTGTGTGTGTGTGTGTGTGTGTGTGTGTGTGTGTGTGTGTATACACACTGGTTTTTCATGGATGATGAGTGTGCATGTGTGCACTGGTCTGTTTTAAGTCATATAAACAAGCACGGTGACAGCCTGCCAGAATCTCTAATGTACCTCGGGATGATGGGTAATTAGATAATGAGCTCCTGAGAGAGGAAGATGTCTACATGAGGAACAGAATTTAGTGACAGACGGGTGGATGGACAGATACAGACAGACAGACAGACAGACAGACAGACAGACAGACAGACACACACACACACACACACACACACACACACACAGACAGACAGACAGACAGACAGACAGACAGACAGACACACACACACACACACACACACACACACACACACACACACACACACACACACACAGACAGACAGACAGACAGACAGACAGACAGACAGACAGACACACACACACACACACACACACACACACACACACAGACAGACAGACACACACACACACACACACACACACACACACACACACACACACACACACACACACACACACACACACACACACAGACAGACAGACAGACAGACAGACAGACAGACAGACAGACACACACACACACACACACACACAGACAGACAGACAGACAGACAGACAGACAGACAGACACACACACACACACACACAGACAGACAGACAGACAGACTAACACATCATCTTGTTAGTGCAATATTTTCTTGCAAGAAAAATGAACCAACAACAAACTTTGAACCACATTTCAAAAGAGCGTGGTTTGCTCTTTGCTCTGTAGCCAAATGTTATGCAGCTGGTAGGAGCTTTATATGAATTTGTTAATTTCAAACAATATTTTTAAAAATCGCCATGTCATCTACAAGCTGTTGAGATGTTGGGTCCATTGTTCAGTGTTTTAATGCTGTTTCACTTGGAAGAACAAGTTCTGCTTATGGGCCAGAAAAAACTTCAAGTCAAATTTCTCTGTGCAAAATAAGTTTTATGATTCTTCCTCAACTCCAGTGTGTTTGTTCACTCTTCAGTTTTTCACCTTCAGATCATATCTGTAAACGTTTAGTGGATAATGTTACTGGATAGATGGATGTCTGAACTGACAAATATTTAATTTCAAATGTAATCATGCAATTAGCTCAATATATTGGCCAAAATGAAATCACAGTCTTATAGAGACAACGGTTTAATAAATGTCACACACACATCATACTCACTTATTCCTCTGAATTTGGGTGGGTTGGCCTTTTCATCCAGTTGTAGCTGAGTCTTGACATACTCAGTGGGGAAGGTGATGCAGATCTCTATGCCACCAGCAATCCCACCTAAAAAAAAGAACCAGAAAACCAAAGCAGATGTTTATTAAATGACACAAAGAGTGTGCATAAATTAACCGAAAACAAATCATCTGAGTGCACAATAAGATACATTGTTGTTTTCTATGGTTAGGATGCTTTGACCTAATGCCTAAACTTAGCACTTATCATCTGAGCCTAACTGCAGCATAACTGTGCCTGATTAAGTCCCTAGGCATCCTTATGTATTGCAAGAAGGAGCCATTACGTCATGGATCATTACAGTGACTCCACAAATGGCTTACCCTCCATAAACATTAAATCCAGCGCTGCAAAAGGAGGAAGAGTAGAGAGCTGAGAAAACATAAATCATCTGGTTCGGCTTCGCCTTCACGCAGAGACTGTGCTGTTTTAGGACTGAACAGAAAGTCAACACAAGAGACGAATGTGTGAAGAAACATAGCTGCATCTCATTCTTCAATGTAGAAGAGAAAATATTTGAAATAACAAGAGATAATTTGAATGAGTGAATGAATGATTGTGTGAGCGACTGTTGGACGTTCGTCCACAGTTGATGGGTGGAGTAGATAAGGACAAGTGACTAAAAGGCTGATACAAACCATGGATGAGTCACGAGAGAGGGAAAGAGAGAGAGAGAGAGGGGGGGGCTGACATTAATTAAATTATCTGCTCAGCCTGCAGGGAGGGGCTCCATTACTCAGGCCAAGACCCTCCATTAACTCAATGACACAGACACACAAGAACACAAGCATACTGAGCAAGCAAGACCCATACATCGCATGGTTACACAGAAGCCTACAGAGATTACTAAAGAAGAAATACCAGATGTATTTCTATTCTTCTTGTTGATAATGAGAAACATTTTCCTGTTCATGATGCATATTTGTGCCAAGTAAGGAACTTGTAGTGATTTAAAAACCACAATTGACTCAAGAATGGGAAGTGGTAAAAATGAAATTCCTTTCTCTGCTGGGAAAAGACTCAATTTGTCTAAAAGGTCATGCCTTTTTCTTTTTTTTTTATCATGGGGAAAATCAAACGTGAACGGATGTTAATGTTAATTTTCAAAGATTTACTGAAGATCCACTTGTGCTACAGATGCTTAGCTGCAATTGTAAAGATACTTCCTTTGCAAAACCTAGATTGTTGGAACTCCGTATCCTCAATATTCAGTAGGTTGTGGCATAATCTTGACAAGCAGTAAATTAGTCGATTTTTTAGCCTTTAAATTGTATTTTCCTAATAAACAATAAGGTTATTCTTTGACAATTATATTTATTTTCAAGTAGTTCTTGGCTTCTCCTGAAATGCAGTGGTTATTGTACTTTTGCTGACCTTGTGTCTTCTTTCCTCGAAATAAATAAAGCTATACTAAAAGATAGAAAATTATTCCCTTATGTTGAAAAGAAAAATAAGTCTCAGTGGTTTAATACAACCGATGCATTTTATTTTCTCTGTGTATTGTTGCTGTGTAATCCCACTGTTTCAATTCTAAACATGCAAAAGTGTCATTTTGCTGTGCAGTTTGTCAACTCCCACATGTCCCTACTGATAACACAAACTCTATCACTGCAGCACCTTGTAACAGAGCCTCAACTCAAGATAAAAAAAATGTATTTTTAACCCAGTCAGGATGTGTTTTTATTACGGCATCTAAGGATGGCATTGCTAAATACACTAAAAGCATTGGACTCATGTTTTTTTATCTTTTACTTCTCGCCTGTCAGTGAGGCTGATTTAATCAAGAAAATCAATTCAGGAACAAGGCTCTTACTTAAGGCTGCACAATTATATTAAATACTTTCTTATCCTTTTCCCATAGATTGAAGTGTGAGAAAAAGTGAATCTATATTTACATTTTGTGCTTCACATGTTTGACTTTTAGACTAATAAGACGAATTTCAAAAGGATAATTACTACACTTTTTTTAAAGGCATTTTATTTTGGTCTACCTAAACATTTAGTGTGATAAGCATGACTTTAATTATTTGTCTTCCGATTTTAAGTATACAGCAGTACTGAAATTACATGTAAATAATTAAGTGTTTATGTGCTGTCATTGATTTTTACCTGCATTTACCTAATTCCTTAGAAAGTGCAACACTAAGCTGAATCATGACATTCATGTGATCACACACACACACACACACACACACACACACACACACACACACACACACACACACACACACACACACACACACATACAGGTCAGTAAGCTGTAATTCTTCTTATCCTGGTCGAGTTGAGAGTAAATGAAAGCCTGCTGAGACATAACAGAAATCACATGACGCTTCAGCCGTCCTGAACCGGGATCAGTGGGTCAGTGTGTATCTCAGAGAAGAAGGAACAATAAACCGTATTCTTTATTTTTTAAGTTGAGACAGTGCTCCATGTGAAAGCCAACCAGCAGCCACTCAGGACCAGATACACAGCAAACACAATCAATCCTCATCACACTCACACAGCCGGTGGAGGAGAGGCAGTTTGTTTGCCTTCTATTTCATTTTGCAGTCTTCTTCCTAAACACACATTTACAGATGACACCCTAAATGACTGCTGTGCCTCTTCCACACGTGGGATACATGAACAGCATGGTCATTAATCTTTATCTTCACAGGCTCGCTGTTCTCTACTGTTGATCATATTTCTCTCAGCACCACCTTCCTCCCTAGCTCATCACAAAACTCTCTGCTACACCGTGTCATAAAATCAATGCCTCCTCATAGATCTTTGTCACTAACTGTAACACGAAAAAAAAAAATGGCATTGGAGTGATATTGAGAACCTAAAGAGAGTAAAAGCAGGTGATAGAATTCTGCTTTGACTGGCCAGAGTGTGTTTTGTCAATCATTAAAAAGTTATCGGGCAAAAGTATATGGACAAACCAAAATTATGCAAACGTGATCTTTTTAACTCCAATGGTAACATTTCAGCTTGGACTTTTTTTTTATTGGAGCTCATTTTTGGAGGAGCGTAATCCAGAATTCCTGGGGGAAAAAAGCGAATAAAATCCACGATTACAACAGTTTACCTATCGCTAAAACATTATTAACCTCCACAAATCATCCTTCAACATACTAGAGAATAATTAACTCATAACTCATACTACAGCACACAGCAATAGCCAACCTCCTCTGGAAAAACTTGCCAATAAGTCCAGCTTTGACCTTTTTCTGTTCAGCCATGTGAGTATTGGTGAGGTCCACCACTAATGCCGGGTGATGAGGTCTGGCTCACACTTATCCTCAATCAGTTTGATAGTTTGGAAATGAAGGCTCTAATTAGGTTCTTCCAATACCAAACTACAAAATCCATTGCATTATGGACCTGGCTTTGTGCAAAGTTAACCTGTTTAAATTTGATCACATACGTCATTAAAATATATCCTCCGCGGATTATGAATGTCTGAACAAAATGTCCCTGCAATATACAGGTTCAACATCTAAAGGGCATCTTTTTCAATTTGGATCAAAGTTATAAAAGTTCACTTGCGGCCTGCCTAGTGATTTTATGAAAACATTTATTCCTATAATAGTTGATTTCGAAACAAACCGTCCCTTTAATAATAGTGCAAAATATATTGTTGGAAAAAGCACTGATTGCGGACGATTGCTAAGCTTCACTAACCTTAAACTGAATAATCATTACTGTGTGCCACTATGGGATATCGTATGGGGAGTACCGTTGGGATTCTCCACACCTATTGTTTATGTATTGACTTAAATAAACACATCCTTACAGCTCCACAGCATCATTACATAAAAACAAAATCACAGCCGATCTTTTGGCGCTCTGAGAGGCACAGAGGAGTCCAAGTGATCAGGAAGACAGCCAGCTGACAGGGAGGAACAGTCTCTGAAATCCTGTCCTGCTTGCTCCAGTGACTCTAATGAGCCTCAAACACATCTGGTACACTAAGAAGCTTCCTTCCTCTGAGGAGGAACTGACAATCCAGCACGGTACCTGAAAGTGGCAACTCCATTTCATACACAAACAACATTTTTACAAGCAGCAGTCTATTTAGCCTGCAACTTTTTGGAGCTAAGTTTGACTCTTACATTAACACTCTTTAAAAGCTCAACAACGCATGTCTTTGTACTTGTATATGTGCAGCAGATTAATAAGCAGCTGTACAGCAGTATCTATCTATTATTCATCCAGATGTTCCTCATTTAGATAATCCTCTCTTAATTTAAATTCTCTTGAGTCTTTGGGAAAGATGTCATTAGGTCCATACTGTATATTCAGTTCAAATTAAGAACACAGCCAGAGGACTGATCACTTCAAACATTTGTTGTCTTATTAATAGCGTTGTAATATTCCTGTTTGCCAAATGCAAAACATGAAAAGAATTATGCAGCTGACGTCTGGCCTTTTACGCTTCCTCTGTCCTGAACAACACTCCCTGAAGCTGCACTGATGCTTAATTACAGAAGGGATGTTGATTAATTTTACATGGAAACTGGTTTAACTGCTGAAAACCCTGCAGCAAGCACATTGTTCAGTGATTCACCTGAAGAGGACAATTAGGGGGTGTTTGACAGTGCAGGAATGAACTGCTACAAGTCTCTTTCCAGTTGTAGGACAAGATGCAGGTTCCTGTGTTTCTAATTTATAAAGAATATATCATGTGTGATTGGTTGCTCACCTTGGTTGATCACAAGTCAGCTATAGGTTCACGTTTATTTTACTGGAGAGATGTGAAAAGCAGCTTATAACAAATCAGTGTTTATTCAATCCACTTTTTCAGTTGCATGTTACTTTACTTGATGTTCATGTAAATTTAGAGGACTTCAAAACTCATCTTTGTTTGATGCATTCAAGGAAACTCTGCACATAGGCTACATTCATTCCTGTTGAAATATACTTGATTTACAAACCACAATTTCCAAATGTGAGCCCTATCACCAGACTCAGCTTTACAGAGCGATTCAGAATCTTTATCTCATTGTTCTGTTCTGTTCTGGTTCAGTTTCTCTATTCTCTATTCTGGTTCAGTTTCGCTATTCTGGTTCAGTTTCTCTGTTCTGGTTCAGTTTCTCTATTCTCTATTCTGGTTCAGTTTCTCTATTCTGGTTCAGTTTCACTGTTCTGGTTCAGTTTCACTGTTCTGGTTCAGTTTCTCTGTTCTGGTTCAGTTTCTCTGTTCTGGTTTAGTTTGAATGTTCTGGTTCAGTTTCTCTATTCTGGTTCAGTTTCTCTATTCTGGTTCAGTTTCTCTATTCTCTATTCTGGTTCAGTTTCACTGTTCTGGTTCAGTTTCTCTATTCTGGTTCAGTTTCTCTATTCTGGTTCAGTTTCACTGTTCTGGTTCAGTTTCTCTATTCTGGTTCAGTTTGAATGTTCTGGTTCAGTTTGAATGTTCTGGTTCAGTTTCTCTGTTCTGGTTCAGTTTCTT